ACTGCCCTCAGATTGTCATTGCTTGTAGACCATTTCAGTGGACACAGCTAGGAATTACGAGTGTTTTAAGAAAAAGAAAATGAACTATATTCCTACCAATATTTCTAATTCAAATTTAAAATTATAGGGTTTTTAACTTAAAGAAAAGTTCAGTCTTCTGTTTCTGATACATCCAAAATCTTATTTCTTAATGTTGTTACTTGTTTGATTTATCCTGCAATGTTTTTATATAATTTTTGGAAATAATTGCCACTGTTACTATTAGCAATAAGACTGTCAACTGCAGTTTATGATTTCTTTGCATTTCTTTTTGTTATTAGGATAAATCTTATTAGGGATGTACAGTCAAAATACGGTCTATTTAAAAATCACTTTTTGACTTTAATATACTCTGTGGTTATGCTACCAACTTGAGGTAGATTAATTTGTTTCTGTTGAGTTTTAAGGGTTGCTTTTTTTTAGATTGATTTTTTTAAATTTTGTAAAATATTTTACATAGTTCCAAAGCCAAATTATAATACAAGGTACATTTGTAGGACTTTAGCTTCCTGATCCTCTCCATTGTGCTTCCTCCCCCACTCTCCCATGAGGAACCACTTAGTTTGGTTTATTGCCCTCCACAGAAGATACCCAACTCACTGTTGTTGAGTCGATTCCTAGTCATGGTGACCCATGGATTTTAAGGTAGAACTGCGCTCCATAGAGTTTCAGTTGCTGTAATCTTTTGCAATTAGGTCACCAGGCCTCTATTCTAGGGCATTTCTGGGTGAATTCAAACCACCAACCTTTTGGTTTGCAGCTAAGCACTTAACTCTTTGCATCACCCAGGGACTCCATGCATGTAATCAATGGAATCATAATGCTTATAACATCTTTATGATGTAACATTTTTATCTTCATTTTGTAAATGAAAACCCAGCCTTGGGTTTCCAAGGCTGTAAATCTTTATGGAAGCAGATTTCCTTACCTTCTCCTGTGGAGCACCTGGTGGGTTTGAAACACTTACCTTCTAGTTACCGGCGAAATGACTTACCCACTACACCACCAGAGCTCCATACCAAATACAGAACTTGGCTGAGATCACCCAGCCAGGCAAAGCCTGAGTTTCAACCCAGGCTGTCTGAGTTCAGAATTTGTGCTTGGCACTACAGTACACTGCCTCTTGGTGATGATTTAATGTATATATACCTTTGCTTGTATCCTAAAAACAAAAGAGTTACATTCGAATAAGGATTTTTTATATGTCTTAAAAAACAAACCTCACTGCTGTTGAGTCGGATCCGACTCAGAGTTACCCTTCTTGGGTTTCCGAGGCAGTATCACTATGGAAGTAGATTGCCCAATCTTCTTTCCGAGGAGTGGCTGGTGGGTTTGAACCACCAACTTTCTGGTTAGCAGTCCAGTGCCTTAGGCACTATGCCAGCAGAGCTCCCTACACTACCTGTCTAGGACAAGACTAAAAGTGCTACAGTTGGCCACATACTGTTGATTTAGTGGATTGTAATTTTGTTGTTAAATGGCTTGAGAAATTTTGAACGTCTGTTTTAGAAATAAGGAGCTCTGGTGGCACTGTGGTTAAAGCACTGGGCTGCTTACCAAAAGGTTGATGATTCCATCCCACCAGCTGCCCTGTAAGAGAAAGTATGGCAGTATGCTACCATAAAGATTTACAGCTTTGGAAACCCTATGGGGAAGTTCTACTCTGCCCTGTAGGGTTGCTATGAGTCTGAATTGACTCAATGGCAGTGGGTTAGCTTAGGCTAGTGGGTTATTGTAGAAATAATTTGCATTCAGTCTTTTTTTGTTTTGTGCTTATTTTGCACTTTTTTGTGAATGTATGAAATTCAGAGTGATTTCTTGAGAGTTTGTTTTCTGCTCTTAAGAATTTTCAGTTCTCTGTAACCTCCATTTCAGCAGCATTTGACAGTTCAGGAGATGGTTATTCCACATGAGTGATTAGAAACAAAAGGATTTGGGATTACGCATATTTTTGGCAGTGTTATTAAATACATACAAAGTCAGTAGAACAAAGATTAACTGAGACCTTGAAAAGGAAAAAAACAACAATTCAGAGTATAAAAGATGCTTTGCTATTAAAATTTAAAAATAAGGAATTAATATTCGTTTTTTAGTCCTAAAAAGGAAAGGCCTAGACAATGTGAGACAAGAGTTTTGTGTTTCCTCATTAAATTTAAACTTGCTTATTTGCTATATTTTTGCTTCAATAGCAGATTCTGTTTATACAGTGAATTATTAGATATTTTTCATACTAATGAAATTTTAAATTGCCAGACATTAATATTTGAGAAGAAATAATGCTAAAATGAGACAGAAGTGGGTGAAACTTTGAGAAGTATTTGTTTCTGTAAACCAAACTTCCACATAGTTAAGAATGTTCCTTTTGAAAATCTTTTCCTAAAAGACATCTCAAAATTTTTCTTAGCAACACATTTCTGAGATTTAGTTATTACAATATGTAATAAAGTAGAAGGGGCACATGGCATCAGAGAGCTTGGGTTTAAGTCCTGTCATTTAACTTGTTGTGTAATGTTATACAAACTGTTTGACCTCTCTGAGTCTTATTTTGTGAGTGGAAATGCTGGTGCCTCCCATACAGTACTTTGGTATGGGAATTAAATAACAGGCGTGGAACTTAATGGATATTTGGTAGTTTTTCTTTGTGTGGCAAGACATGTTTATGGTCATACTGTGAAAGAACGGGAAGAGACCTGAGCAGTCTCATCCCACTCTCCTATTTTAAAGAGGAGGAATCGTCAGCGCTGTAATAATGATCAGTGAGTGAGTTAATTTGGAGTTAGAAAACACGGTGTGTGTATATATATCCCTTACTCTTTTTGAGCCCTTGTTTTCCATTTCTTAATTTTAACTTTAACTTTTTTCCCACTTTTCTATTCAGTTGACCTAACGTTTATAAAGCACCATGTGCTGCACTTTGCTAGGCACCAGGACTGCAATGTAGATGATTTTGTGTTCTGCCTCTAGGAGAAAAGAGACTCCCTGACCTGCTCAACAGCGTTCCAACCTCCTAGTGTGTCTTTCCATAACACAAAGGCTACAGAGCAGAAAATCTTTATGTTCCAGCTCCTTTGTAACAAAAATTTTGGATGTCTTTTACATTCCACCAATCAGATGTACTTATGTAATATTTGAATTCAAGGTGGGAGAGTCAGTTGTGTGAAGTATCAGTTTTACTGGTATGGCTATAGCACAATTGTTCTCAAACTTTAGCATACATTAGACTCATCTGGAGAGTTTGTTGAAGCACAGATTACACAGCCCCAGCCTGAGAGTTCCTGATTCAGCTGGTGTGGCATGGGGCCTGACAAGTTTGCCTTTCACACAAGTTCCAGGTACATCCTCTTTGATAATCTGACAACATGATAGTCTTCTGGAAATTGGAAAAACATGTTGTCTCATATCTAAAAGAAATGTTTACATGAGGATCTTTTGTACTTAGAAATTTATATTAAAATTGTACCACATGAAGATTTAAAAATTCATTTCAGGGAGACTCAAGTACAATTACTTGCTTAAATCATGATCTCAAGCATACAACATGTCCCAGAACATTACTGGGCACTGCTGAAAAATTCTCCACAGATGGGTGATTAATTAAAACATTCATTAGAAACAAACATACCATCTAATCTTGTTTTGTTTGGTGTTTGGGGCTTTTGTTTAATGATTTGGTTTGAGAGAGTGGAGGCTACGGTGGGGATTGAGAGACAGAATTACAAGGAAAAACCATGAAATGTGTACTAATTTCCAAAAGGTTTAGTAGTCTCTTAACTTTTTTTTTTTTTTTTCCTATCTTAGTTGGTAGTCTTTTTCTTTGACCAATTAAATAGTAGGGTGGCTGGGAGGAAATTCTTACCACCTTTATGTCACTTTTTAGATTTCCTGTATCTTTACAATATTTTCACTGGTTCAGGAAATTTCATTCCAAACTTAAAGTTTCTGTAGTAGGTTTAACTTACAAAAGTGAGTTTTAACTTGTGACACAGTAAAACCTAGTTGTCATTTCTTTGATCAAATTATACTGTCTAAAATTTCTTTCTGAATTTTCCAGATTTTCTAGCCCACATTTTAAGTGTTCCTCTAAAATTGTTCTATAGAATCCTGTTTAATTTTTTTTTTTCTTTTTGAGATCTCAAATTAATAGTCATTTTAACCAACTGACTCATTCATTTCATTCAACAAATACTTATGGTGTGCCTGCCATATGCCAGAAACTCTGGTAGGCTTAGGGAAATGATGGTGACATAATTTTCCCTATCTTCATGACACTTACATTGAAGAAGAGAAGAGACAGATTTTTAACTATTTGTTAGCATGAATTTAAACTTCCCAAAGTATCCCAGTCCTTCCAGTAGAGTTCTTTGACTCATCTGGAAAGACTTTGCTGAGGAAGAGATAGTTAAGCTGCAGACTGAAAAATAGGAAGAATTAAGGAAGCTAGGAAGGGAGCAATCTACTTGTAAACAGAGGCAAAGGTCCTGAACAGAGAAAGGGCTTGACAATGATGGGTAACTCAAAGGCAGCCAGAGTAGTTGGAGTAAAGAGGGTGAATTGAGGAGGATAGTCAGAGAAGAATCTAGAGGAGTAGGGAAGCAGGATAGCCTCCAGGGGCCAAATTGAGGATTCTGCCTTTATCTTAAGAGAAATAAGAAACCATTGAAAAGTTTTAAGTCTGGGTAGAAAGGGAAAGGGACAGATGTGACCACAGATTGTTTTTAAGCAAAAGAGAGTGTTAGAGTAGGTCATTGTGAATATCAGCAATCAATTAAGAACCATTACAACAGCCCAGGTGAGAGAATATGGTAACTTAGACTATGGTGGTGCCAGTAGAGGTGGAGAAGTAGACAAACCACATTTAGTGGAATTTCTGTTTTGTTTGTTTTACTTTCTGTATATTGCTTGTTGGGTTGAAACATGTAACGAAAGTTTCAGGCTGATTGATTTTCCTTTTTTTCCTTTAGAAATCGTCAAGCCTGCCGTGCTATTAAATGAAGAGGAAACACAGTGATTTAAACACATCCTTAAAGAAAGCCAACGAGAGATCGTTCTTGGTTTTTGTGCTTTGTGGCATTCATCGAATTCTTTTCACTTCTTTTACTGTAGAAACTGCATTTAAGTTAGAAAAATGAAGCAGTTGAAAAGGAAAAGGAAAAGCAATTTCAGTGTTCAGGAAACTCAGACACTTTTGAAAGAAATTACGAAAAGGAAAGAAGTCATTTTTTCCAAGCAACTCAATACAACAATTAATGTGATGAAGCGAATGGCTTGGGAGGAAATTGCACAGTGTGTGAATGCCGTAGGAGAAGGAGAACAGAGAACAGGGACAGAAGTGAAAAGAAGGTACCTTGACTGGCGAGCACTTATGAAGAGGAAGAGAATGAAGGCAAACATTAAGCTCGTTGGTTCTGGCTTTCCCCTTCCCACATCAGATTTAGATGATTCTCTCACTGAAGAGATAGATGACAAGATTGGATTCCGAAATGATGCAAATTTTGATTGGCAAAATGTGGCAGAGTTCAGGGATGCAGGTGGGTCCTTAACTGAAGTTAAAGTGGAAGAGGAAGAAAGGGATCCACAGAGTCCTGAAGTAAGTATTAACCTGTGACCCGGTTTTAATTTTCTCAATTCTGTTGTGGGAACTATGGTTCATGAACAGTAAGAAATTCCCCTGATGTTCAAGCTAACTTCCAGGTAGTACGGAGTGAGGTCATTCCATGTTATTTTTTTCTTTTTACATCAATAATCCCATTTCCCTGACCTAAATCTACTTACTTTGATTATATGTTCATGACATGAGGTAAATTATTTCCTAAAATGCCCATAAATGATTTTGTGTGCTTGGATGTACAGAAAGCTTTTCAGAAACATTTAGAAAAATTGACAGCCATGAAGTAGAAATAAATACTGAAAATCCCTTTTTTTTCTTTTCTTTTAGTTTGAGATTGAGGAGGAAGACGAAATGTTGTCATCAGTCATCCCAGATTCCAGGAGGGAAAATGAACTTCCTGATTTTCCTCACATTGATGAGTTTTTTACCCTTAACTCAACACCATCTAGATCATACGACGAGCCCCATTTGCTTGTAAACATAGAGAAACAGAAACTAGAGCTGGAAAAACGCCGACTGGATATTGAGGCTGAAAGACTGCAGGTAGAGAAGGAACGCTTACAGATTGAGAAGGAGAGGCTACGGCATTTAGACATGGAGCACGAGCGACTTCAGCTGGAGAAGGAGCGGCTGCAGATTGAAAGAGAGAAATTGAGGTTACAGATCGTCAGTTCAGAGAAACCGTCCTTGGAAAATGAACTTGGTCCAGGAGAAAAGTCCATGCTTCAACCACAGGACATAGAAGCAGAGAAGTTAAAACTTGAGAGAGAACGCTTGCAACTGGAAAAAGATAGGCTGCAGTTTTTGAAGTTTGAATCAGAGAAACTGCAGATTGAAAAAGAACGCTTACAAGTAGAGAAAGAGAGACTTAGAATTCAGAAGGAAGGGCACTTGCAGTGAATTTTATAGGTCTCCATTTAGTGAATGTTTGTAAATCTTAGGTTTTTCTCTATATCTGGTGATATCAAGATGATTGTGGGATTAGATGTTTTTTGTTTTGTTTGTATTTTTTTCCCTGAATAATGTAGTGTTTTCAGTAGGAAAAAGATGGTTATATGTGAGTCATGTATGCTTAACTAGTATGTGTAAAATCTGTATGTATCCTGGCATAAACCATATAGCAGAAACTATTGTGCTGTTCTCTTAGTAACATTACATAGTCTTATATAATCTGTGCACCCATCCTTTACAATTATGTCTGTGTAAATTCTAGTCCAGTGGGTCTCACTGGGGGTGATTTTGTTCCTCAGGAGACATTTGGCATTGTCTGGAGAGATTGTTATAACTGGGAGGGGAGCTGCTATTACCATCTGATGAGTAGAGGCTAGGGATACTACTGGACATCCTACAATGCACGGCTAGCTCCCCACGGTAAAGAATTACCTGATCCAAAATGTCCATAGTGCCAAGGTTGAGAAACCGTAACCTAGCCTGATTGATTGTGCATCTCTAAAGCTTTGTTTTATAGTTTCAGAATATTTTAAACCTAAGATATTTATGTGGGTAGGTACTTAAATGGCCAAAACCTTTAACTATGAAACATTACTATGTAGACTATTGAATATAAGAAGTGGTAAAGGTTATAGATATTTTATTCCCTTGTTTCCATGTATAAATAGTCTTCTGAGATACAGAAAGCAATACTGGGAACATCAGAGATTGCCCAACAGCAAGTCTCTGAAAAGCAGTTGATTCATCTAGCTATTGATGGTTTATAAGCAAAACAGTTTTAAAGCTTTAGGTCCTTTCTTCGAGTCCATTGTTTTACTTCTGATTAAAAAAAAAAAAAAAAAAAAATGTCATTTCAACTGTGTGCTAAAATCTTACATAAGTGAATGGTTGAAGCTGGTAAAAATTGTACTAGTATAAAAAATAGTACCAGCAGTCTATGAGCTTGAATGCAATGAGTGATTGTTTGATTTTTAAAATGAATTATAGCAGCTATTTGGGAGGGGGAGGGGGAGGAAGAATGTCTTGTGCATCAAATAATAATAATGATGATGAAATGATGATCGTAGTTGGTGTGTTTTGGCTTGGCAGGAGCACTTACCACATGCTATCTGACCTAATCTGTGGAAGAATTTGTGAGAGTAGTATATGTCCTACTTGTGAATCTGAGGCTTGAAGTCACCTCAACATATTATAGTATAGTTTCTATTTGCCCTTCCATAAGGAACAAAGTGTATATATTTGGTCCCTTTGTTATTTATTCTGAGAAACCAAGGACTGGTGTCGTCTGGTGATTTGCCTTCAGTCCCCTGAAGGTGCTTTTTCCACAATCCAGTTATGATTTAGTGGTCTGGAGGTAGTGGATAAGTCACCCTAGAGTTGACACATTCTTACCCTAAATTTGACAGTGAAGTCTTTCATTTATATCTATAACTTTTGTGACCACAAAATTCACTTAAGAGATTTCTCTTTTCACTAGATAAAAATACTAGGTATTTTCACTAGATCAGTGGTCTTCGATGTGTGATTCCCAGACCAGTAGCACAAGCTTCACCTGGGAGCTTGCTTATAAATAAAAATTCTTAGATCCCACCCCAGATCTGCTGAATCAAACCTGAGGTGGGGCCCAGCTTTTTTTTTTTTTTTTTTAAGCAAATCATTGAGGTAATTCTGATGGCCACTAAAGTTTGAGAATCCCTGCACTAGATCACTTTGTGTTCTCTGATTTCTGGTCTGATATATAGCTTTAATACATTTCTTACATGAACAGATACTGCCTATGTTTGTTCTTTGTTAATTTAAGAATGGCTTGAAACCATAGGTGGTGTTTAAATATGGGTACACAAGGAAAAAATAATATTGCATAGTTACCCTGACTTTGAAATAGTGCTATTTTTATAACTGAAATAAATGCTTCTACTGTAGAAATAAATTTGCCTACACTAACTACCTGAAAGTTTCATCATTTAAAATGATGTTCATTGCTTTAAGAGTTGAAGTTATTAAACCTGGGAAAGGGAAAACCCTATCATGGTGAATAAGGGCAACAGTCCTAACATTTGTGCTAGGAATTGTACTGTGTGCTTTATAAACGTTTTATTTGCCTCTTAGAACAACCCTTGAGCTAAGTCATCTCTACTTTTATAAGAAAGAAGACAATGTCTAGTAGATTCAATGATGAGATATTTAAAAAATTACCCACCAATACTGACCCAAGTTTTTAGTAAGCCTGTAAGTCTGTAGGTATAGTTCTTAGTATCATAGCCTTGCCTTTTAGTACTTATGAAAGTCATTTAACTTGCCCTGTGACCTGATTTCCTCATTTATGGATATATTAATACCTTCTCTGTTTGTGCTCAATAGGCATTTTTTTTGTTTTAATAAAATGGAGTATGTATTTAAACTAGAAAATTCTACTTAAATACAAGATGCTACTGTTGGATATGAGATCAGTTGATTTTAATTTCCAAGGACTGAGCATGAGGGTAGCCAATAATTATTTTTGGGTGGAATACTCTTAAGTGCCTGAAAGTAATAATTAAAAAATAAAAGCTTAGTATCTTCCAGAGCTTTGGTTCAAAAGCCTTGGGTTTCTTTATCCTGTTCTAGGTGAAGATGGATTGATTCACTCCAGTAGAAAACCACTGTGCAGCATATGTGAGGTGGTAGACACATTTGGGGTGAGTTGTGTCTGTTAGCTATTGTATAACAAACCACTCCAGAACTTGGTGCCTTGAAACAAACAAAAACATTTATTTTGCTCATGATTTAAAGGAAATTATCTGGTAGCCAGGTAGATCTTATGGTCAATTTCAGGCTGGCTAGGTAGTTAAATCAACACTGAGTCAAGGTAACCCCATGTGTGTCAGAGTTGAACTGTGCTCCATAAGGTTTTCAATGGCTTGTTTTATGGAAGGACATCGCCAAGTCTTTCTTCTGAGATGCCTCTCAGTGGACTTGAACCTTTATGGTTTCTGTTAGCAGCTGAGAGTATTAACCATTTGCACCACCTGGGTTGGGCAAATTCTAAAAGTGGCAAGTGTCTAACAGAAAGCAGAGGTTCTCTGGGCACCTTGAAGCTAGGCTCAGAACTAGACTCCATCACTTCTTTCATATCCTAGTGACCAAAACAAATCACAAGGGCAGACCCAAGTCAAGGGATAAGGAATAAAGTCCACTTCTTTTTTTTTTAAATTATTTTTAATCATAAAATACCTGTAACAAATTTTGCCATTTTTTAGTAATTTTTTTTTCCCAGGAGTTCTATTTTTTTTTTTTTTTTTAAATGGGATTTGGGTGAAGATTTACAGAGCAAATTCACTTTCCATACAGCAGTTCACATATACTTTGTCTCATGTCATTGACCACAGTTTACCACAATGCAACAGCTCCCCTCCCACTTCCTCCCCATAGTTACCTCTTCCCAGTGACCATCCCTCCATACTCTCCTGCGCCCTGAGCTGTCTCCCTGTGCATAAGCGGCCCTTCCTTCTCCCATGATTGTTCTCTCCAGGGCGTGTGTCTACTTGAGGTAAATGTTTAACTCACATGTCTGTACATTGTTTGACTGGAAACCACAGATGTGGGTTCAATTCTAGACCTGAAGGGCAGCTAGGGACCATAGTCTCAGTGGTTCCACCAGGCTCTATTGGACCAGCAAACCAGTTTTGTTCCACATTGTTCTCCCTCTCTATCCAGGATCTCCTACATCCCTTCCAAGTGGATGACAGTGGTAGCTGGGCACCATCTAGTTCTTCTGGTCTCATAATTGTATAGATTGCAGATCGGATGGTGTACCAGTCGCTAGGACTGATTGTTTCCATGAATTTGTTTTCTTTCTTCTTTGCTCTTGAGGAGAGACCCATCGTTGCATCTAGATGGCAGCTTGCTAGCTTTTAAGGTCCAGTTGCTACTCACCAAAGTAGGAGGTGGAACAATGTTTTGTATAGTATGTTATGCCAATTGAGCTTGATGTCCCCTGCAAAAGTCCACTTCTTGATGGGAACACTTGCAAAGCTGGTTTGTAAAGGATGGAGATACAGGGAGCGTTCAGGAATTGTAGCCATTTTTTGCATTCTACCACACCTACAATCTGGTTTGTCCACTTGCTCGAGTGCTCTGTTACTGTCTCTAGCGCTTGCCCTAAGCAAATGGCCTGATATAATACTGAATTACGTGGCTACCCTGGTCACAGGGAACACTCACTCTTCCCTTTTGTAGAGATGTTAATTTAGAAGTAGGAAGAGACTATACATTTATAGAAAAAGAAATAGTGTTCTCTCAGCCTTTTTCTTCTAAATTACACTTTAGTCTACAATTGAAGAGAATTCTCCACATCTTCCACTTAATTTGTCCATTTTATATTGTTTTGCTTCTCCCTTTTTCTGCTTGTTTATATTTTGTTACCTCAGTTCTGAACACAAAAGCTGATCATAGTGCTTCCAGAATATTTTGGGTTAAGAGCTGCTTGTATACTTTGCTGTCTGTCCTTAACTTGTTTTGTTTTGAACTCAAATGCTCTTCACTGTGTTGCTCTACATTTGCTTTAACATGTTCTTCCCTGAAAGGAAAATTTTTAAAAACTTACTTTTTAATTTGGCAGTGCTGTCTAGTCACTGAGGAGCCATGGTGGTGCAATGGTTAAGTGGTTATCTGCTAGCCAAAAGGTCAGCCTTTCAAACTTACCAGCTGCTCCACAGGAGAAAGATGTGGTGGTCTTGGAACAATTACAGTCTTGGCAGCCTTATGGGCAGTTCTACCCTGTTCTCTATGGTCCCTATGAATTGGAGTCAATTCTAAAGCAGTGGATTTTGTTTTTCCAGTCACTATCCACAGTTCAGAAGTTAAGACTTCTTAAGTTCCCCAAATATGAAAAGCCTGTTTCCTTTTTGTAACCTCTGACATCTTTATAACATGTTCTGATCTTTTTACATGATACACACATACATGCAATATTTTACCCACTTCCTCCACTGATATCCACATGAGGATTATCTA